TCTGCCGCGCCCCCTGCGCTCCGCGGAGCCGGAGTGGCGCCCGCTCCTGGTGCTCGCTTCCTCCTTGGCGGTGGCGGCGGCTGTGGCGGCGAAGGGCCAAGCTTCGCATCCAAGGCGTTCGGCTTCTGGCCCCGAGTTGCACAATGTAGGCACAAGGCCAGGCATTGCCCCCCCATCCTCTTCGGCTAATGCTGACTGTGAGGGGCCCATAAGCTAGTTGCTGCAGTCCCGGGGCGAAGGTGGCCCCCGCAGTGCAGTGGGTGTGGCCCGGGTGGATGGCTGCGCGATGCGCTGTGTGGGGCGTGGACGGCCACGGAACGCCCCTCGGTGACAGGCGCCCTTCGAGGATGGCCGCTGTGACCAGACCCTACGCCGCGGGGACAAAGGGAGCCTCTAGGAGGCCCAGATGTCGCCACCGAGAAGTCAACGTCTGGTTCCAATAAGTCCCCAGGGCGAGCGCCACGCCCCCTCTCCAGCCTTCCCAGTCCGGAAATCGTTCCGGGACCACAGGGCGGGGAATCTCTGAAGCGCGATCCTCACCTCAAAACCTTCATTCACAGTGATGGGGAGGCTGACGGCCCTCTCCCAAGATTTGGAGGTGATGGGGGCGCCCCAGCGCTGGCTTCCTGACTCCTGATCTACCGAGGCCCCAGTCCCGTTGGGGGCAGAGGGAACGTGGCCAAGAAAAGGAGTCCTGCCGGCCTTTGGGGCACTAATAGTCACCTCTGGTGTTGAGGGGGCTCCCGCAGACCTGGCAGGGGCCTGAGAGGAGTGGGCATCAGGTATGAGCAGAGGTGCCCTTCGCGAAGGGTGGGGGTGCTGAGCTCTGCCTCCCCGCTGCTCTCTCCTCTGCATTCACCAGCCCCTCTGGCAGCTCTGTGGTCTGCCATGGTCTCCCTGCTACACTGGGATGTTTCCATCTGTTGCCCTCCCCCACCCACAGTGACCTCTGGCCTTTGTAAACACTCTTTAACCTTTGCCAAAGCCACTAACACTTCTCATTTCCCAGGAAGCACGACAGGCTTATATATAAA